AGGGTCGTTCGCTGGCAGGGTTAAGCATAAATCAATCAGACCGCGTTTGAAAACCGGGGGGAGAAAACGATGCTGTCCCGACGAGCATCGGAAGACTCGCGGTAGGTGGACCCAACTCGACGATGCGCTTTTGACTTTCCGATTCTACCGATTGGTGTGGAATCTTCGGCAGCACGACGAATACATAGAGCGATAACAAACTCTCGTGTTATATATCATACGGCGGGAATTGCTTAGACACGAGAGGTTACGATAATGGTCCAACCTAGGCAATGGTCTAAATTCGGCGACATTCCTGTATTGCGTGGTATCCAAAAATGAACGAAGGTCATTTAACAAATGTAAATGATATTTCGCAAGTGTCGATACATGGTACCGGTCAGAAATCTTCCGAACACGAATAAGAAAGCTAGGTTTAAACAGAACCGAAGGGTGTACAGAAGGGAACCCAGCAAAGTTCATACACACCCAGCTCGAGGCTGGTCTCGGAACAAGCGTAGCTCGGTAGCTGGGATTCTCTCGTATCCTGGTCCTTGGAGGCGAGAAAGAGAAAGGGTGACAGGGAGGGAAGAAGGGAGAGAGGGTAGTTGCGCTGTCGCGCGACGTGGCTCGCGGTAATAGGATTTCACGTAAGCAGCCTCCCAGGCAGCGGCCAAAAATCGAAGGAGCTTACGGCGAGATGCGCCGCCGGCCGGTGCAGCCACCGTGCTGCTTCGAACCAACGAAACGGTCGAGGGAAGAAAGGAACGAAAAAACGAAGAACAGAGAGAGAAAGCGAAAGAAGGCGCAACGGAGAGTCGAGCGACGATGCACAAACCGTGGGACGGGAACGGAGAACGAGGGAGAGAGACAAAAGAGAAAAGAGAGATTCGTAGAAGAGAAAGAGTGAGTGTACACTGTGGGGGCGGAGAGGGAAGGACAGGGAGAGAAAGAAAGAAAGACGTCCGGCCCGTACAATTTTAATTAACCCGGTACCGGGTAGCCGATCGCGATCGAATCGGGTGCACGATCTACAAGGAATCTACATAAGATCCTCCACTCGCGGCTACAACTCAATCCCCTCTTTCTATTCGACCCTCTATCTCTCTCTCTCTCTCTTTGCTGCGGGGCCTTAAACGGCCCGCCACGGACTCTCCAGTGGATCCTGGTGGACACGAACGGGCAAGCCCGCGCACAATCTTTGCCACCGTGGCCCTCCCCCTCGTCCCTTATCTCGGCGAGCATCGAAGATAGCAGCAGCCTTCTCCTCTCTCGGTGGCTGGCTGCTGCTCACCAGGATCCGGCGAGCTCATATTGTTCTCCGCGCGGCGTGTAACTTACCGGGAGGAGAGAGGGACCCGATCTTCTCGCTTCTACGAGTCCCCGTCGTCCGTTGCTCGTTTTATTCTCGTTTTGCCGATCGGGGCCACGAGGCCCCGGTGTGTTCGCGATCGCCTTAACGACGGCGAGAGATCCCTCCCCCTGCTTCTCTCCCCTCGAATCTTTGTCCTTACTCTCTTCCTTGAGCAACCTTCTTACCATTGGATCTCCGTTTACGGGAATTTCATACACGTTTATACGAACGACACAGTCTCCAATCGGGACCGATTCCTCGGAAGAAGAGAGCGAGAGGGGGAAAGGGGCGACGTGTACCAGAGGATCAGTGGACCTCGTTGGAACGGCGAACCTCGCGCCCGATCCGATCGAGAAGATGGGTACTCGTCGTTGTTCGCGCGTCCACGCGTATTAGAACCGCGCGGCGGGTCGAAGCTTTCGAAGACGAGGGACGCAGCGCGCACCCATACGTGCAGAGAGAAGGCACGACGACGGTAACACGATAGCGGCCGTATGTAAAACCATCTGGTGTAAAACGAGCTGCTGGCTCGTTCGAGTATTAAATCGGCCCTCTCCCCTCTCCCTACGAATCCACCCTGTCGCATCTCTCTCTCCCTCCCTCCCTCGTCCAACCTTTCCTTGTTCTTTGATCGACTCTCTGCCCGTTCCTCTCGATCGCTCTCTTTTTCCATCCGAAGCACCCGGGGGCCTCGTCGACCTTCCCCGCTCCGATTCGGTCCCTTTATCCGACCTCCTCTCCCCCCACACCTAGCTACTCTCTTCTTCGATCGGCTCGCTGCGAGGGAGGAGAAGGCACGTAAGACCTCTCTAGGTACGCGAGCGCGCACACGTGGACGCGAGGAATCCGCTTAAGCCGCGGCCACAACAGCCCGTCGCCCCTTCCCTCGGACGTCGCGACGCGCACCGGATGAACTCGTTGCCGTTCACGCGTGTTGTCGGCCTCGGACCAGCGCGGTTCACGTCCACTGGGCCCCGCTGAACGTTCTATCGCGTTAAAGTCCCCCGGTTTAATCGGCCGATCGACCGCCAGCGGGAACAAAGGACGTCGACCGCTTACAACTCCGACATATATAGATCGCAGGGAATCCTTGTGGGCCCCAAACGAAAGAATCATTTGTGTGTTTACTCCGTAGAGGAAAAACGCGCGATCTTCATTGGCGTGAACCGCTGAGCCCACCGAGAACGGGCTGTTGGTTAACGGCCGTGAAAACGACACTTCGCCCGGACGGGTTAATGGGCAATTAAAGGGCCGTGTTTATGCGACCGATGGAATACATTAGTCGCGTAATCTTGTCGAGTTCTAAGGAGCACGGACTGGAATGGATCGCAGAGATTTCCTGTGATTTTTCCGTCCGCTAACACCGATGGAAACGGTACCTCGGATTGGGGTCAATCTTGTCTTCTTCGATTTATTCTTTTTCTTACTCGACGATGAAACGATCTACGGACTTTTGACGAAGTTAAACTTCGCCGTTACGTCAGGATCGGCACGAACTCTGGTCTCGAATTACATAAGCCTCCGCGCGGCCCATCGTGTTCTCTCGTTCCATCGATCGGTTTTAAGAACGATACACAGAATTACGATCGTTAAGTGGCTTTATACCGTGGAATATCTTCGAGTCCCTCCGTGTGTATTATGCCATGATTCGACCGCGACTAGGACATAATGTTCTTATTACAATGTCTACCATTAAAATGAATTTCTACACTAAACTATCTCCGTACCATTGTTTCATCCATTGGATACATGTATCACGATCGACGTCTCAAGGAATATTGAATCGAGAAATTGCTCGATCGAGAAACCCGTTTTCGCCGAGAATATACACTCCTTGTGCTCGATTCACCATTCCCGTCCACGATTATCCGAATGATCCGATCGATTATGACCGGTTAATTGTAATTAACTCGCAGGTAGAACGATAGACGGGGAAGACCGTGAATGATCTCAGAAGTTGCTCGTTCAAAGGGAACAAACAAGTGAAATCCGGTCGATCGATCCATCGGAAACGAGCGGACAATTTGCATCGAGAAAACGCGGCGCGAGTTATTGCGGATGAACGATAAACAACGCTTAACTCCGTCTCGCGGTGTAATCACTCCGCTGGACGGCGTCGTTTTCTCTTTTTTTCTTTCTTTTCTCTCGCTCCCCCTGTTCCCCTTATATCCCTGTTTCGTGCGATCAGAGATCCCAGAACCTTGGACGCTAATAATAATAACACCATGACCGATCTATCACCCGGTTAATGAAAAAGAAGACGGCGTACGAACGAACGAGAATGTACACGGCCGCCACGGTTCGCGGGTGCCTCGTTAATCGCGTTACCTAGGTTCGGTCGTTGTCTACTTAAAACGCCATGCGACTTTATCTACCGGCCTGCAACGGCGATATATATCAACCGGTGGTTCCAGAACGCGCGCGCGCGCGTGCGTGCGTATACACGCCTCACGATCAGGGAAAAAAGGACGAATCGCAAAAACGGTGTCGCGAAATTCGAAACGGTCCGCCGCGCGGTTCTAACGAGAAAACGTTAATAAATTGATTTTCGAGATAGGGAGCGCTTGATAGGGGGACGTGCTGTCTCACGGCAGGTATTTTTAATTACGGTGCACGCAGCGGTCTTGTAATCGGGGCTACTTTATATTCGCACGATGCGATATGCTGTATTTCGTTGGGAATAGGGCGGGAAAGGAGATGACAGTGCGTTTCAACGAAATACACAGAGGTTTAAAATTTTATGGTCCTATGTCGATGTCTATGTAACTGTTAATATTACTGCGATCTTCGTGGTTTAGTGATCTGCGATGTAATTGCTTAGAAATTTTACGACTGGAACGCTCGTAATGTTATCCTAAGGCTTCTTAAATGGTATAGAGTATTCGATTAAAGTGTTGAAATTTAATTAAATTATATCTCATCCCCACATGAGAAAAGTGTCAGAAGTTGAAAATTGTCGATTTTCATTTTATTGCATAAAATATCTTCCGATACATAAGTTCTACTAGTACAAGCGCTTTAGTGGTGGGGATGACGTCTGAATAGATTTACTGTAGCTTTTTGTTCGTTTTTATTTTAACCACAATACACAGGGATTGAATATTTTTAGGGTGGTCTCCTAGTTATACCACACAGTGTACAAGTGGCAGAGTAGAAAGTTCGGAATACATTGAACCTCAAAGGGTTAAAGAACCATTAACAATCGTTAGAAAAAACAGTAGAAGCTCTGTCAATGCCTGGATAGCCACGTTCTAGTAACAGGCATCGGCAACCTATGAACCACGTGTCACCAAATGACCCATTTGATAAATTCAAATGACCCGCTTGAGTTCCGCAAATAAACTATAATATATAAACATAAATTATAAAACATAAACACGAAACACTTTGAGAAAATATAAATAATAGATAAACATTTACCCTGCGGGTCATAGGTTGCCGACGCCTGCTCTAGAATGACTGAAACTACTAGCTGCGAGAGGGATCTATACCGAAGGGAAGGAGGGAGGATAGAAAACAGGTAAGAAGGAGTAGGTGTAGGATTGAAGAAACGTCGACGGGTCGCGGAGACTAATGCCTCTTAATGCGGCTCCGCGAGACCCGGGGCAGATAATGAAATTGTGGTGGAGGGGCCCTCGAGTAGTCTTAAGAAAGTCCTGCCACTAACCTTTCTCGTAGTTGATTTGCCTCTCCTGCTGCCTCGCGTTGTCGGCCGCGACCTTGAGTAGGCCCTGGATATTCCTGAGCAGGGTCTCCGTACTCGAGACCGAGGGATCCTGGCCTCCCTGGGACACGGCCACCGCCGCGGAGGCGATCTGCGAGTAGTTGAGGGCCTGGGGACTTTCCGAACCGGGCGCGGCCAGCGGAAGGTTCTCCGGAACGTCCGACAGATCTGAAAAACCACGAACAATTCACGTGAGCGTGGCCCGTATACTCTAGATCAAAGCAATCTTCAGGATTTGGAAGATATTTCCTGTAATCCTTACAACTGTTAGGGCCTTTCTTCATGGACACGAGCCATAGAGGCCATAAATCGGGCGCCAAAGTATTAACCCTTTACCAGTCAACGTAAATCACGTGTACGTCCCGAATGTGACTATCTCGGAATAAGATGTCACAGTGTGGAAAGACATGTTCGGTAGCAACGGTGCGTAAGCAAGAATTATTCGAAAGCACATTCGATGACCAGAGCTGGTTGTGTATTAATAGACGGCAAACGCGCGTGTTACAGGCGAATTTTCTGACCTATACGTTTACAAATACCAATGAAACACGGTTCTGGAATCCCAGGGACGATAATCCCCCCGGTGCATGATCAATGGTAAACCAGGTAAAATTCATTTTGCCCGCGAAGCAGAACCCCCGTCTTTATTTGTCTTCGGATGGCCGTGGTGGAAGTCTCGCCTATGAACCCGCTCCCGTAATTTTTGTCCGTTCTGTGTACGTGGTTCCCGCGTTGCCGATAAATTTCCAACCAGAGGAGGGAGGCGGGGGACCGTGGAACAACGTTCGAGGGAGGTCCCGACGCCGTGGAGAGGAGAGAGGACTTACAACGCGTGCGTGTTCCAGAGTCGTAATCCAGCGCGGACTACTTGTTACCCTTCGCCACGTCTCTGATTTAACGTCATCGCGGACGAATTAAATTTCGCGGATTAAACGGCACCAGTCGCGAGAGGGGTGGGGACGGATCCTTCGAGGCCGCGATTAGCCGCGCGGTCGCGCCGTCGCGCGTGTACAAGCCTCAGAGCGCCGCGACGGGGCGGCCCACGGACACACCGAAATTGTCGTTTCCTCCCTACGGAGACCAGAGAGACGGCGCATATTTATTCCCGAGTGTCTCGCGAGGCGCCGCGGGATTTAGAGGGAAAACTCCTCGAGATTCCTCGAAGGACATCGTGGTTCGTAGAAAGGGAACGACATCGTCCTTCCAAGATATTCCTTCTTCCCGACGAACAACGAACGTTGTTCGTTTTGCTCGTGATGTTCGCGGGACGGGGGCGCGCGCGACGACGCGATCAACGGGGCTAAAAGGCGGGAGTAGTCTCGTTATTCTCACTCTATCGACGATTAGCCTGGAAGCATGGTTTTCGTCGTTCGAGGGAAAGGAATCGAGGTTGTGGAAGGGGGGAGGTATCGCGAAGGATCCCGGGCCGGGATCGCCGGAATAAAGGATGCCTTATGGTTATGGCCGAAGTGGTCCGTAGAGAGAAAGAAAGAGATAGAAAGAGAAATAAAGAGAAAGAGAGACGGAGTGAGTGGCGAGACAAGACGTCTGCGTGGGTTCTACGGGGCTTAAGTGACCGGGGCCGCATCGTCGGTACAGCCCACACCGTGTGGTGGCTTTAGGTCCCGGGTTGCTTTACGGCCGATGATACGTGCTTTATTGTATCGTCTTTTAATTATCAGCGCGCGCACCTACAACGCCACGGCATTCGGTTACTTATTGCCATTCGCCGATTTAATGCTCGCGCGCCTTCGGTGTGCCGATCCGCCAACCACCACCGACGCCGCGCGCCGCTCTCGACCGGCACCTTTTGATAGTAAACTACTCCCTTCTTCTTCTTTCTCGGCCTTTCTGCGTTGCTCCACGCTGGTCTTCTTTTTTTTTTTCCGTCATTTTACCCCCTCGATCTCCCCTCCGTGCGACCTGGCGGGTGTGTGTGTCCTTCTTCGTCGAAACCCATTACAATTATCTCTACCCCGGGGGCCAAAGGTCCTTTTCTCTTCTCTTTAAGCTGCGAACAACGTTCTATCGAGGATTGAAAATCCTCCCTTTGGTTCGAAACCTCCCAAATGGGCACATCGTGAGGCCGATACGCACCGAATCACGCGGATCGCGAGGTCGAACCGAGGAGCCCAGGAAGTCGCGACGACGCAAACGGGCGAATAATCGCGGCGGATCGGATTCCAGGAACGAGAGCCCCGTGATAGCGGGGCGCGTCTCATTAAATCAGAACTGCATTCCACGGGCGTGTACACTCCCACGGGCGATTCGATGGGGTTCTACTTCGATCACCGCGGCGGGCACCGTAGGTAGGTAGGTAGGTAGGATGTAGCCGATCCGTACGACACACGCTGCGAGACACGGATTTCTTTTCCCCCCGGCGAGCGGCTCCAAAACACGACCCCCAGAAATTTATACGTCTAACTCGTGTCTTTCCCGAAATTTAGGGGCCTGGGGCTAATTCGAGGGTACACGCATACACGCGCCACGGAGATCCTCTAATCCGCCAGCGCGCTTGAATCTTCTAGTTCACCTTTACGTCTTTTTCGCCCTTTCACTCGTTCGCATTCGGGACACTAAACTCCGTTCCACGAGAAATGGGACACATCTTTCGCGTAACTTGTTTCCAATGTCCCAACTGTCCCAACTGTGTTTTTCACAGACTGGTGAACAGGTGAAGTGTCGAATAATGATTTGTCTTGCTCCTAAGTCCTAAATGGACACTTTGACGGCGATCTGGTGGCTGGAAAAATGTGAAAAGGAAAGGAGAGGGAGCGTTTCGTCCTGGTAGTGCCGCCACAGACCACTGCTAAAGGATACGATTTGTCGTGAAACAGAGTTTAGTTCTCGTGTGTACACCGCGATTCGAACTTCTGTCGTTCGACTCGAGACCTCGGCGAGCCTTCTCTGTTCGTCGTCTCGTTTTCTTCTTTCGTTTCGAGGCGAGGACACGGAGGCTCTAATTGGAATATCCAATTAACTGCGCGTCCAGCGCAGGGACAATCGGCGAATCGATTAGAAATCACCGCGATTATGACGCTTCGATGCGTCGAACCCTCCGGCCGAGCGACAGGCACACCAGATAGCGCCGCACCGGCTGCGCGGGCCAAGATTCTTATCCGGACCCATCTTTCATTATTAAAATGAAACTAAATACCGAAGATGCGAGTCTAACGACCGGACCCTGCCACCAGCCAGTGGTGCTCCCTCACGGGGATACAACGTCACTCTTGTTCCTCAGTCCCAGTCGAGTTTTTGGTAAGGGCACGACACGGTTCTTGACTCGCAGAACGCAACCCTTTAACACTCAGACCCTTCAATAGTTATGTTAAAATCATGATACTGATAGTAGATAGGTTGTATCTTGTTATTTTGAACTCGAAAATATCGATATTGAACCAACCTATTTTTTTAATTTGTGAAAATTTATTTTTAACACGGAAACACCTCTTACGGAGAGAAAAATTATTTCTCGCGATTGGATAACTGAAAAATTGTCCCGATACGTGAACCTTGTCTGGATTTTCAAGACGAAACCCCTGGATAGTAGGATTTTCTAGATATCACGTGTACGTCAAATTGGGTTGGGTCAATTTCGTTAATCGCGAAGGAAAAAAATCACTGGGTTCTTTACGTTTGGTGTCGAATTGATCGCGATAACGATTTCCACACGTCAGAGCAATGGTTTCCATACGTGTCGGTCCAACGGAATTCTACTATCGTAATAGCACACCTCGTAAAAACCGCGATGTAATCTCCAGGTACAATTAAACTACCACGAATAGCCGCAAGATCGAATACAATGAAACACGATGCCATCGAACAAGATAAAATATAATTAAATTCATTATTCACCCGATAGAATAGTAGATACCTTTCGTTACAAGAGATCGGGAATAATACATCTTCCTCGAATTACAAGATTCCATTCACGAAAGAGAATCTAGAAATACGTACCACGATTCGCATGCAACTCGCGTGTAAGACACACGATTGTTGCACGGGAGTCGATAACCCTGAACAGAACGATCCGTAATCGCGACGTCGAATCGCTCAGAGTCGCGGGAAATCGCGTGAGCATCTTCCCGCGATCGATCGACACCACCAGACGCGATTACTCGCGAACTGAATGAACGAGGGAACGAAAAGAAGAAGCAAAAGAAAAAAAAAAAATAAAGGAGTACTCGACGAAGAATGGAAAAGAACGATCGAATGGGGTGTGCCTACGCGGCGAAATTCCAGACACCTCGAACGACCAGAAAATTCTCCAGTCTGACGGACAGGTTTTGACAACCGCTGAGCCGAGGTTTCTCGGGGCCCGACGATACAGAGAAGACGAATCCCCCCGTGAACGTCGTTCCGCTACGGACCCCGAGATGATCGATGAGAGGGTCTGACCTACCAGTCGTCCCGGGGAACTCATCTTTAAACGCCGCGGCCCCGTCCGCTCGATTCGATATAATTATTTTACGTTATATACTCGCCGCGGAACGTAGACGAGAAGAGGAAAAAGGGGAAGGGGGTGCGGAGGGGGGAGACATCGTTTCGACTTTCGGCACACGTCAAATTCACCGTCACGGTTCGGCTGCCGCCTAATTGATCGAACGATCTCTCTTTCTCTCGCTCCTCGCCACGGTTGTTGTATATCGACGGACGCGTTGCAAGATCATCCGCGAAGTATCTCACCTTCGTCCTTCTCGTTGTCGTCGTCCAGGTCCTCCGACAGATTATCGTCCTCATCCTCGTCGTCCTGCGAACGATGCGACGCCTCCGCCTCGCTTCCGGAGTGCTCGCCCACGCTTCCGCTTCCCGCTGTCTTTGACAGGTTCAGGACGGGACTGTGCCCGTTCGACGAACCTGAGGAACAGAAATAACGAATCCGTCTAATTCAATCGGATATAGGGATACTATCTTTCGCTGGGATCCTGAACGATTGTGGCGGAAAAAAGAAGCTCGGGGTTATATCGATTTGATGGATTTTATTTGCCTTCCTGTGCATCTCTGTGCTTTTCCTCGGGGAGGAAAACGATCCCGGCCCATCCACTTTCCCATACGTATTTGATATCCTAGCATTTTAATCCTGACGTGGATAGATGCACTGTTTGTCCAGCGAACAGGGAATGACGCATCGGCGGTCGAAGTAGGCGGGTCGTTCCCGAGATCGAGTCGATAGAAACACGTTCGAGAGCATTTCGAACCCGCGCTCTGCTCCAGAAAGTTATCCGGGGCGATATTATTGCGCGACGTGCTCTGGTAGGAAGGGGTTGAATTTTATAGGCGAAAGTGTGCCCAATCTTTCCAGAGACTCGACCCGTATTTCATAGTATAATTATTCATTCCACGATTCACTATTCAAACCATGTAATGAAAGTGGACAATTGAATTAATTGGTTGTACAAGCTTCGCTACTCGAAAATACTGTGGACCACATGTAGGCTATATACTCTGGTCAACCTTAACCTCTCGAGGGATACTCGCACGTATGTGTACGTTTAGTTTTTCTTTCGTTCAAGCATCATTCCAAAATTGTAATTAAATATTCGCTAGGAAATTCTTCAACAAAACAGGGTACTCTACTAATTGACTGTTATTAATATTTATAAATACATTTTAATTATGTACAGTTAAAACGCGTTTATCTCGAGAAGTCATTTTACTCTCTTCTTACCAGAGCACGTCGCATATGCCTCGAAAGCCACTGGAGAGAGTAATTACAGTCAAGTATCGATTAAAGTTTACTCGTAACGACGAACTACCAAAAAATTTTGCGGTTCGATAGGAACTCACGGTAATACGGAAACTCTAGAAACAAAATCGGTTCGGTTATAGATTACGATCCGAGTACGGTCGTCGACCGTCGCGGCGTTGAAATCTCCGAGGTAACAGAAGGGGACCCGTCGATTCCGTGGGGCCCCTTAACACCCGATCGGATTCGAACTCGAAACGTCCAGTTTGTCGCCGTCTCGGACGGACTGGCCCTAAAATATTACGGGGAATCAGAAGAAAGGCGGAGCCGCGCACGATGCCCGGTAACCCGATATCGGACTTAATCTCTCTCTTTCTCTTTTCTCCAGGCTCTCCTAAACGCTCGGCCGGGCCAGTCGACGAGAAAAATAAAGAAACGTAGAAAAGGAGCCCGGGGACCGAGAGCTCTCGGATCACGCTCGGCTGGCTCTACTCGACGCAACGGAATATCTTTCTGCGTGGCCTGACTTCGACTTTTCGACGCTCGTTATCCGGATGGAACCCCCGCGATCCGAAGGAGATCTCCACAAGACGGAAGAACCGACTGGTTCGTTCTCCGTCTAGGTATAACATCTTGAATGTGTTCGACGCGATTGTTTAAAATGTACAAACAACGAGAAAAAAGAAAAAATTAATAATCCATCCACGGTGTCGGAACTATGGGGGCGGAACTTTCGGTTTAGCGTCTAACGCCAACATCAATCTTCGTTAATTAAACGCGACGTAAATGGTACCGTATGAAAAGAATTCACCCCTCTATATAAGTCAAGTAACCGCAATGTTTCGTAACCGTACGCCATCTTAACAAGCGTCGTTCTTTATAGCTCAAGGTTCGATACGGAATCGAGCCTTTCGATCTATCGACTGTGTATACACACCATAGAGGTATAATAACCGGAGTGCGTATTCAGCCGAAAGGCCGTCAAATATTAGAAAAGAAATAGCATTTTTCAATCTCTCTACTCCTCTGTTTCCAAGACAACGAAGATTTCTTTATCGTACCACGCGTCCGTATAAAAATACAGTTTGGTGACTGTACAATAGCTATCTCTTTCTAATTTTGGAAACTGTACGATATAGATATTATACGTCTATGGGCAGTGTTTCCCAACGTAGGGCGTACGTCCCATGGAGGGGTAATTTAAATACTTTAGGGTACAATTAATAAATCATTGACATTCGTCAACTTATCCAGAACAATTTTACCTTTGTACTTTCTTTATTTGAAGCAGCTATTAATATTAAACTTTTTAGAATTTTGTTTACTATTAGGCTAGGAGGGAGGGGGTTCGACATCTTTGAGACGTTCAGGTGAAGCATAATCCAAAGAATGTTGGGAAACACTGGTCTATGGTATCCACACAACGATTGCTGTCGCCTATATCGGAATACCTCTGTATACACACGTGTGTCCAATTTCAAATTGTACTATGTACGATCCACGAAACACAGCTGTATCTATCCTATCGACCGACGATCGAGGGAAGATCAGCGGCGAATGTCTAGCGTCGTTGCGACGGCCTCGAGTCACGAAAAAGACGCTCTCGCCTGGCGAGATGGATGCATCGGGTGGTCGGTCGTGTGGTGTACGTGATAGGATTCGTGAGCCCATAATAGGACTCTTTCTCCTCGGCGTTATTCGCCGTATTATCGGGCCTTCGATTACTGTAATTACGATAAACGAGCAGTACGCGTATTTATCTTACCATTGTGCGAGCTCAGGTCCCTGGGTTTTTGGTCCAAAGCGAGTGCCCTCTCGGCGTCTCCTCTCTCCTCGCGGAGCCTGCAACCAGACAACCACACAGAGGAAAGGTTTAGTATTAATTTTAGAGAGGGGAGGGAGGATTGATAATCGTACGGAGCGGAGGTGGAATCGTCCGCACAAGGGCATTAATTAAATAATTATTCTAGCCGTCGGCCGCCGCGTAGGACGATAAGTGCCGGTTTCTCACTCTCTCGCGCGTGGTTCATCGTGATCGTGTACGTTTAATCGATTCGCTTTTCCATTAACATGGCTTGAATATTATTCAGACTTATAACAATAAAAATAATTCCCTCTTCCGTAACTTGTAAATCTTCCGTACGATGTTGAAAGCTTCATACAGAATAGTTTCATAGATTTGTCGTCGAAATATTCATTCTTCGGGACACACGATAGATGTCGGACTCCTGTGGAGGGGTTGCAAAGCAGGACACATCACGAGTCACGAGTTCTGATTCACGAGATATTTGTGTATGAAAAAACTGATAGACACGTGCTCTCATTCACACATTTCACCCACCACTGCCCTATGCCTGCATGCATGAGGGTTAAAGACGTGGATGAACGTACCGAAGAAATCGAACAAACTCGAGGAATGGCCAAAAAAAAATACTGAAAGAACCCGGTTTGGAACTTTCGTCGCGAGCTTCATGGTGTGGTCGTACGCGTGTTCACGAATTTATTCCACGAGAGGCGCGTCGACAGTGAGAAAGAACACAAAATGGTTGTTTCCCGGGCGATTAGGCTCTCCTCCTACGATAGCCGTTCCTTTCCTCCTCTCGAAAATTATTCCCCCGAGTATACCTACTTTTTCCCGGGCAGCGCTCTCGCGCGCCTCCTCGCGCCTCGAATCGAACCGCGGACCATTAAGTAAGAAGTTAATATCATTAAACATAATATTGGGCGCATCTGGGAGCCGCAGAGCACTTACCGTGCCCGCCCGTCTCGGTCCTCCACAGTGGCGCGTCTACGGACGATAAGTTACGGGCCCCGTTAAGCGGAACGGAGAGGGGAAACGTTTTCTCGGGAGCTCTCTCTCTCTCTCTCTTTCTCTCTCTAGGTGCCTCCATTCAGTTTTTCACTTCGCCACCGGGTGCTTCTTTACCGTTTCGACCATTGAGATATATACTAACTGCAGAGCGAACTATGGGTTGGGAACCGGTCCGAGAAAGAGGGAAGATTGCTGCGGTGAACCTATATCTCAGTGTTACACACATGTATAGATCACGGAGTGGTAACGATATAGTAGTCTATCCCCCTTCTATGCACAAATGTACTACACAATGGTACAGACAGAGGATAATAGGAAGAAGTATAGGTTCACCGGATATCTTCCTATTCCCTTGGACCTCCCCTACTTCTTCGCGCAGGAAATAGAAAACCGCGGATGAGATAAATTCTGCATAAATAAGTTACTTTTGATTCTACGTATACAGAGCTCAATGATTTCGACGAGTTCGAGAAACAGGTACGGTGCACCGTTACCTACGGCGTGGCGCGGGCCTCCTTGGACGTTCGATTTTACGAGGTCTCGAAATTTCATCGGCCGTTCGAGCTGCCACGATCTCTTCTCTCCGTGGACCGGAGGAGGACCCGCGGACCCTACTCCCCTCCCCATTTAGGCCCCCGGACGACTGCCAGCCGAATAGCGTGGACGCGCCTTCGCGAGCCTTCGATATCGTAACGACTTAATTTCCGACGATAATTAAATTTTAATTGGTAATACGAGTCGATTAAGAAGGCCGATGGGTATCTCGTCCCGCCTTCGTGCAGAGAGGGCCTCCTCTACTACCCCCTCCCCCTCGGCCCCTGCCTCCGAAAAGCTTTCTCGCTGGACCACGGCGAATTCGAGCGGTTACACAAGGATATACCTACACGATCGGTGGATTCGTCGAAGACAGAGTCGAGGTTGGATAACAAAAGTGTGAGAGAGAAAGAGGAAAAAGGGTTGACGAGAAGGTAAGACCGAAGAAGGGGAACGAAGGGTCTAGTGAGAGGGGGGGGGGGATCGGTCGATTCGCTTAGACGTCGTCGTAACATGGTGGGGTTATTAAATTTGTAATTAGTCGAATATTACGGCGGCGAAGCGTCGCTACGCGTCTTCACGGTTCCGGCCGGAGAACGCCAGTTTGCGTGCCGCGCGTTTACGCACGCCCGCATGCGTTTACCGGCGCGTTTACCTGCGTGCCTCGCGTGAGTAGACACCTAGACGCTGGTATATACACACACACAGGGCCTTTACGCCCCGCGTTAATACATCATGGATTTCATTACGCGTGCCTACGGCCTTTACACCGCGCACAGAAACGCTCGCCGCTAGTCGCGAATAATTAGCGAGCGCCCCGTCTTAAATCTCCTAGACCCGAGAGAAAGAGAGACAGCCTGTCTGGAAGTACCAAGATTTGCTTGTTCGAACGTTCGGGGGAAAGTTGAAAGAATCACCAAGGCATCGAATGTCTTCGACAACTAGGATTGTTCCACGGAAAAGTCTACTCGCAAGTTGAAGGAACCTTTTCTGATTTCGGTATCGACCGTTCGCCATTTTCCGTGTCTTCACTTATCGCGTATACAGTGAACATTCGTTTACACCTCACCCTTTGTATTCCTAAAAAACCAAGACAACGACCAAGAAAAGAACAATGAAATGAGAGAACAACGAGCTGGCGAATCTTTAATCTCGCGACGAGTCGAAGCCTCGCATTAAACGCGCCTTGCCCCACCGTCCTCTGATCTGGAAGGCGATTGAACTGTATCTAGTCCCCGTCGTGTCCATTAACGTCCTTACAGTACGTGTGTACAGGAACTAATAAGCCGAACGAACCTGTGCGCGCGCCCTTCTACAGTTCTTTGCCTTTAATTTTGATTCGGTAATGACGAACACCGCGGGGATCCACGTTCCTCGATGCCCGGGAACGATCGTGCCTCGCTCAGCAGGAGTTCATTAACAGGCGTATATACTATATACATCGGAACGTGAAAAAAGTGGATTGGGATTTCGGATCGCGTAACGCCGAGGATATCGTACACCGTCTCACGATCCTTCGATCGCCAACCCCCCCCAGGATCGAGGTGTCTCGTCACGAGATCACGTTCAGCTATTAACGTCGGCTTCTTTGTGCTTTCTACAACTGGGAAAACGAACAGAATTGAACGGGGGCGCGTGGCTCGCAATCCGATAATGACGGGAACAGTTGTAATTTCAAAGGGGCGGAACAAAATGGAGGGGAATTGGCAAAACTACAGAATCTTGCAAAGTAGCCGACGCCTAATTCCAGGGATCTCATTCGGAAGCTACTAAAAATTTCTTTATCAAATTATAAAATTTAAAGGACTCTCTTCACTAGACCTAAAGTACAAATTCTGCTTTTCTTTTTTGATCAACGAACCCTGACGACCACGAACATTTCCCTCTCGAGAACAATTCTTTAAATTTGTTTCTGTATCTTTTTTACAGCTTGTGGAGCTAAGCTTGGTACGCTTAATCGTAATTTTAATTACGTTCCTGGGAATTCGAGTCGCGTTACAGTTTCTATTCGAGAGCTTACCGTTCTCGCCGCCTCTATCGCGAGAACGACTATCCGCCTGAAATTCCCGACGAGTCGAAATAATAAACGAGTCGGTTCGGCCCTCGGAATGGGGTGGTGGTAACGGGATCCGTAGCGTTGCGATCCTGAAAACGCGACCCTCAGGACTGTGACATTCGAGGCGAAAGGGGTTCTCCTACGGGTCTGGTAACGAGGCTCGTCAGACCGAGAGGAAGAGAGAGAGAGGGGCCTTCCATACAGCCAAGGATATTCCTTATTTCGGCCCTTCCCCGACGTATATCCGCGTTACGTTGATAATTACGCGAGCGGGAACGGCCCGTCGAGAGATCGTGTTACTCGTAAAGATGAAGAAAAGAGCCGGAGAGAGACTCTTTGCTCTTCTGTGACTCTTGTCTTCTTGACACTTCTGTACACCGAGATGGGGTAGCGAAACTGAGATGACATACACGTGTCACGCGAATCCTCGCCATTCTCCTGCCGCCTGCGCCCACCGATGGCTTCGTTTCTACGAGGGTGCTGGCTAATTCAAACAAACGAGAGTCGAAGAAAATATGAGAAACATAATTCAAGATAGAGACGGTGGAGGGGTGGAGGATTGGGGAGCAGAAATTGGTTTCGAGATCGAGAGGTGGTCCACGGGACTCGACCTGGGACGAGTGTCAGGACCGCTGTTCCTTCGGACGTACGAAATAAGGGGGGCGATGGAGAATCGAATTACACGCGATCCCGTCACTCCCCCACCTCCCTTTCGATTTCTGTTGGATACTCGCGAATATTATCCGACGTATCGACAGACGGACAACATTTATCAAACTGTACGCGACTACTCGAGGGAGCACGATTCAATCACCGGATGCCTGAGATTCTTGCCACGGCCAGTCGTCGATCATATCGATCCCCGGGCGAATAAGACGTCCGAAGTCCCGTGGCCAATGGTTCCCTGCTTTCCCCCTTCCGTTTAGTCGAGAAATTCGATTTCATTGACTACGTATTACTTTACGACCTTACTGGTATCATCGAGGCTCGACGAATGGTGACTGAAAACATTAGCGTTTTTGAGTTTGATTCTTGAGTCTCAATACTTCCTTGCCAAGGCTAATTGAGCATCTGTAAAAACCTGCTTTCGAGAAAAGAGCTATTTAATACTTTCAATAATGCCAACCATACGTTAAATGTTTTTAGACTAAAAGGATAGACATTGTTTTCCCTAGAAAATCCGAATGGTTGGACTTTATTTTAACCACAATAGATAAGGAGTGAAAATTTTAGGATGGTTTTATACTTCTGTTACGCTTCGAGGCAGGCGAGTACCGCTTTCGTCCAGCGAATATCTAATAACCGCCGCGATTCGTCGAGCCCCAGTTATCATAGTTCGAAACTTTACAACTGAGCTATCGGTATAGCGTCGAAAAAGTTCTGAATTCCACGTCTCTGGCAGCCCGTCGAAAGGATCACCACGGGGAATAACACGATGAA